CCCACCCTTCAACCCAGCCAAAACACCCAGCCCAACCCACCTAGCAGCGGCCCAATGTCAAAAACCCCCCAAAAAATGGTTCGGACCAATCCTGGACCGACCGGTCCGGTCCACTAAACCAAGGTCCCGAAGCCCGCCCCATTTTACCCTCGGTTCAGGCCCCAAAGTCCGGTCCGGATCGGGCAGGCCGGGCCAATTACACAGTAGCGGTCCGGGCCGAGTACCGGGTCAATCCGAACCGGCTCAATCCATCCCTTATTGGGCTGCTACATGACACGACAATTATTTTAAATTGTTATAACTTTTTCATTTTTGGTTTAATTGTTTAAAAAAATATATCAATATTTTTAATTTTTTATGATCTTTCATATGATACCAATATTGTATATGTAAAATCAAGAAAAAAAATTCCAGCTAGAAATGGACTTAAGAAAAAATGATTTTTTCCTATTTTTTTATATGCAATATGGATATTATTGGAAAGATAATAAAAAGTTATTAAATCTAAAAAAGTTATAATAATTTTAAGAAAAAAGATAATTGTAATGCCAAATGGCATGCAATTGATGGAGAGGGTGATGTTCACCCTCCTTAGAGGGGTGAAGTGGTGAACAAAATCGGAATAGTTTCATGTAGGGGTGGACTCGGGTTCGGGCCAGGTCCAGGTCGGGCCTAGGCCCGGGCGGGCCGGCGGTTCAGGAATTGTGGACCCAGGACCGGCCCAGATAGCCACCGGGTCCGGTCCAGGTCAGGGCCGGGCCTCCGGTTTGGGTATTCTTTTTTTTGCTTTCCTAACCCACCCCCACCCTCCCAAACCCCCAAACACATCCTAAACATCAAGCCCAACCCGAGTGGAACCCCAAAAATGAAAAAAAAAATCAATTCCGCCCGGGCCTAACCCGGTCGGGCTGGTTCACCAAATGTGAGACCCGAGCCCGGACCCGCCCTACCCCCCGGGGCTAGGCCCGACCCGGACCCAGACCCGAGAACCGGGCCGATCCCAGTCCCGCACAGTAGCAGGCCAGGGCGGTCCACGGGCCGGGTGGCCCGACCCGTGTCCAACACTAGTTTCATGGTTTGGATTCTTTGTTTGGACTGGACTAATTCATTTTGATTGCCAGAATCCTTAAAAAAGACGTGACATCTCAAACAACTTACCTTAAATTTTAGATACCCGGTTTCTTGGTTGCATGAAATTAGGGATGGATTCGGGCCGGGTCGGGCCCGGGTCGGGCCGCCGGTTCGTATCACATGGGCCCGGGACCGGCCCGAGGGTTGGACGGGTCCGGTTCGGGCCGGGCCACCCGCCCGGGTCACGGGTCGGGCCACCCGCCGGGCCGGGCCGGGCCGGGCCGGGCCGGTTAAATATTTTTTTTAAAAATTTATATTTTATACTTTATAGTTTTATACAAGTATTAAAAAACAAACTTCAAGTGCATTTATTTGAAATGAAATAGGAACTACATTTGAAAATTAAATAGGAACTATAATTGTTTTTAATCAGAATCTCCGGCATAGGTAGAGCCACCCTCTGTTGTAGATTCATCCATAAAGTGTTGGGATGGAGTGATGTCAATTTCTTGAGCTCTACGTGCTGCTTTCAACCAATCGTGGTAGCATATAAGCATCTCAAGAGATTCAGCGCTCAACCTCGTTCTGGTTTGTGTTAGAACATTGCCAGCCGAACTAAATTCTTGTTCCACGGCAACCGTTGAAACCGGCATTGATAGCACTTGCTTAGCCATCTTTGCTAAAATCGGGAACATTCTTTCTTTTTCCTTCCACCAGTTTAGTACGTCAAAATCATCATCTTCTTCAAAATCAACATCATAAGTTAAATACAAAGAAATCTCATTAATTGTGCTTTGTTGCGTAGCGGGAGTTGATTTTGTTTTTTTAATAAGATTGGCAAACGTAGATTTGAAAATTGATTTTCCTTTAGATGATGTTTGTGTCGGGGGAGGGGGCGCATTGCCATATTGTGCATGAAACTCATTGAATAATGCATAAAATATATCACTAACCTCATTGTATTCTTTTTTCGGATCAATTGGGTTGTCCTCATACATTGGCAATGGACCAAAAAAAGCAGCATAATAATAATTCAAACATTCTTCTAAAGAACCAAGTCTAAAACGAGGATCGAGAACAAATGCAATACCATAAATATGCGGAATATGTGAATAATATTTTAAAAACTTTTCCTTCATAAAACCAGCAAAATAACTCATATAATCAGTATTCTCAAATTTTGAAAAAGCACCAGCGAGATTAACAGCTTCACGAATAAATTGGTTTGAGGTAGGTTTATAAACATGACTAAAAGTTTCAGTTGCATTATTAAAATATATCAAAGCATTACAAATTTTTTCACAGGTGTCGATCTCAGCCGAGTTTATAATATAGTTATCATATTGTTTCATAAAAGCAGGAAAATGTTGTTTATATCTAAGAAGAACTCCAATTAACTTATAGGTACTATTCCAACGAATAGACAAATCTTTTGGAAAAGCCACATATCTCTCACCTCTTTCTATCAAATAATCATGCCATTTTTTCTTAAGTTGTCCATTACCCCAAATACGTCTAATCCCCCCCTTGACTACCTCCAACGATGCTCCCAACGCTTTTAGACCATCTTGCACACATAAATTTAGAACATGACATGCACATCGTTGATGAAAAAATCTACTCATCAAAGAAGTAGAACCACACAATTCACGCAATCTAGGAATAGCAGCAGTATTATTAGTAGCATTATCAAAACCAATAGCAAACACCTTATCAATTAAATTATACTCAATTAAAATACGTTCAATCAAAATATAAATATGTTCAGCGGTGTGACGATCATTAAATTCACGGAAAGCAAGAACACGTTTATGCATATGCCAATCATTATCAATATAATGTACAGTCAGACCCAAATAATGTAAACTATGATAAGTATCCTCCCATATGTCAGAACATACAGTAACACGTCCATCAAAGTTTGCAAAATAATTTTGTAACCTTACCTTTTCCGCACCATAAAGCCTTGAAATTTCTTTCTTAACCATTTTGCGACTATAACCTCTATATTGCGGATTTAAACAAGTTTGTGCATAATCACGAAAAGCAAGACTTTCAGAAAACAAATAAGGCAAATTTTCTTCAACAAGTAAGTTAGTCATACCTGTCAAATTTTGTGCATCATTGTATGATAAATTACCAAAAGCTTGTTGGTTATTTGCAAACCTCGATATTTGCGTTTTCTTCCCCGTTCCGCCGCCTAATTTTGCATACTCCATCGGGTGTTTGGACTTAAGGTGTCTTGTGGCGGATCCGTATCCGCCGGAAATCCCCAAGCTATAGTTTTTCTTGCACCAATTGCAAGTTGCGGTCCAATTCCCGGTGTTCGGGTCCTTCCACTTAGAAAAATTATTAGCCATTAATTCAGATTTACTTTTTTTTGTACCTGTTTGGGATGAGGCTGCTTGGTCGGCGTCATGGCTGCCGCCACCCTCCTCCTCCTCGTCGTGGCTCTCCGGAATTGCTTCCTCCACATCGTCGTCCTCGTCCTCGAGCTCTTCTTCGTCAATGGTCCTCGGTTGGTCTTGAAAAAAGCGGGAATTATATCGATGCAATTCTTGTTCTAGTTGTTCGTCGGTCATCGCATCCCCATCCCTCCTTACGTAACCCGTATCAAAATCATCTTGACTTTGAGATGAAGAGCCGATATGTGATTTACCTTTGCGGGATCTCTTCCTCGCAAGCTCTTTCGTTCGGTTGCGCTCGAGGTTACCCATATCAACCGAATATCTAGGACGATCCATCTAAAAAATGTAGCGATTAAAAAACTAATTAACTATTTATCTAACTATTAATTCGAGTTATAGCAAATTAAGTAGTGAATTAACTAGTTTTGTGTACAACATATTTTTTAAACTAGAGTCAAATGTAGCAATTAATAAAAAATTGTAAAAAACTAATTAACTATTTATCTAAATATTAATTCGAGTTATAGCAAATTAAGTAGTGAATTAACTACTTTTGTGTACAACATATTTTTTAAAGTAGAGTCAAATGTAGCAATTAATAAAAAATTGTAAAAAACTAATTAACTATTTATCTAACTATTAATTCGAGTTATAACAAATTAAGTAGTGAATTAACTAATTTTGTGTACAACATATTTTTTTAAACTAGAGTCAAATGTAGCAATTAATAAAAAATTGTAAAAATGTAATTAACTATTTATCTAACTATTAAACAAGAGTCAAATGTAGCAAATTAACTAGTAATTAAACAAGTGTAAATAATAGAATAATTTCGTACCTCTTTCGGACTTTCGGTCTTTCGGATGAGAGTAATAGAATGACTTCAAATTAATTAGATATAATTCCAACTATATTAATAGATATAATAAATATATAAGTAATATATAATTAGATAACAAATATAAGTAATATAATACTATTTATATCTATTTATAGTTTATGTAAGTAGATAATTAATATAAACTATAAATAATAAATATAATATATTGGAGAATGGAGAATAAGAGAATTAGAGAGTAGAGAGTTAAGAATAGGATTTAGGAAGAATTGGAGAAGAGATGAAAAAATGTTTAAGATTAAGAGTATTTATAGGTTTTTTTACCCCCACCCCCCACCACCCCCCACCCCCCACCAGCCAACCCCCCCGGACCCCCCTTTACCCCACCCAACGGCTATATAGCCGTTTGGGTTGTCCCCAGCCCCACCCCCAACGGCTAGTAGCCCAAACCAAAAAAAAAATTGTTTTAAATTAGACCGGGACCCGGGCCCGGGCCCGACCCGGCCGGGCCGGGTCACAATAATCCAGCACCGAGCCCGCCCCGCCCCTTCCCCACGGTTCGGGTCCATACCCGGTCCCGGACCGCCCGACCGGGGCGGTCCCGGGCCCGCACAGTACCGGGCCGGGCCGGGTCACGGGCCAGGTGGCCCGAACCGAATCCAACCCTACATGAAATAGAAGGGGAGGACAACAATTTTTTCCACATTTTATCGAGATATAAAAGCAAAACATGATCAGACTAACAAAACTTCAATAGCTTTCAAGTTTCAACACTAACGATACAGGGTTTTGTTATCAAGATGGCCCTTTCAACAATACACCAAGTGACTGAGATTTGGTTGTTCCTTTTTCTACATGTCATAAAAACTCGTTAGCTCATAATCTCGACCAGTACATGTTCTGCTTCACACAAGTTCTCGTTCAACAGTTTTGGGGCAAAAAGGGCTATCAGCAATGGGTTTCTTCTTAAACTCTGGATGAAATCATCATGGCTGATCCTCCCATCATGATCAGTATCCAGAAAGTTGAAAATATCATGGACCTGTTTTATTACCACATGTTTCTCCAGCAGTTAATTACTAGACTGATGTATCAAATTGACAGGCAATGTGAAATTATGGGATACAGAAATGTGAGTCCCGGCCATCTGGCTGGAATCTGATTAATAACTTTATCTTCTAGATTCCATCTCAACGGTTGAGAAGCAAGGACTTGCTCACTTGGATAAGAATTCTCTAGTCTGGGGTTTGAACAGGTCCGCTTAAGTTTGTGATCTAGAATCTAGATGGTCTGTTTGATGTTATGTGTTTTATATATATATTATTATTTAATACGTAGTAATAAATATTGGATGTTGTTGTACTAGTCTGGTCCAATGAAGAATAAGTGCAACTGAACAGAGTAATTTCAAGACCAATGTATTGCCACTCACCTCGTCTTTGCTCAGGCTCAGAACTGATGGTTTAAGAGATTCTTCCAGCTGACACACACACACACATAAGGTACATATCAGATTCAGGGTATTTGAATAAAAGGAGTATACCATATTTCTTGAGAAAAATGCTAGATTGCCACGATAGGTTACCAGATGGGCAAGATACGCTCTTTGAAATTAGCAATGTACCCATACATTTATGAGTCTATAGTTCTATGGGGTCAAGAAAATACTCCATCCATTTTGTAATAAGTGAAGTTTGGAGAGTTTAGTAATTTTGCAGAAGTAACATAGATTTGGAATATCTAGGTACAATACAAATTCATAGAATTTAAAATTGAAGTCACTCAACTGGGTCATATGGCATTTAGGCTAAACCATACGATAAGATGTAACTTTTCAATCAGTTGGCTAGTTCAACCAAAAGTATTACTAACACATAATTCTCAATTTAACTTTCTAATGTTTTCCTGATTTGTCCTTCATTAATATCCTCTATTTACTTGCTTTTTAAAGTATAATTGTCACAGTATGAGTCGTTTTCATTAATAAAAGCAATAATATGTCTTGAGCTAATACTCCATATTATTTAAGGGTCTTTAAAGTATTCTAATGTCTTTTTTATAATTTGTAAAAGATACCCTAAATCAACTCTTATCTCAGGTGGTGAAACTCATGTAGTTGTACATGGTGCTCATCTACCATTATCCATTCGAATGAAAAGCATGGGGGTGGGTGCACAAACCTGGTGATCCAATACGTAACTTTTCCCATCAACATCACATCTTTCAAATGCCAATTCACATGCCCGGCAAAAAGATGGTTGTTTCAGAATGTGAGCTGATGCAACCAAGAACTGAAAGCAAAGAGTTTCCGCTCATGACATATTTCATTATCTTTCTACAAAAGGACCAGTGTGGTCAAAAAATCACAAATAATTTCAAATGTGCAACCCCAATTCCCAATGTCAACGACACATTACCGAATAGGATATGGATGACGATAGTGAGAAGAGCAAGGAGCCGAGGATGTTACCTGCTTGAATGTTATTCGCCCGATCTTTTTAACATCAAAAAAACGGAATATCTGCCAATGTCCAATACCAAAGAGTAAGACTCGACAACATAAAACACCCAAGGAATATGTTCACCCAGCCTAACAAATTTTAAATTAATGTCAAACCAACTTCTGTTGGCAGCAAACTTCCATTGGCATGAGGAAGAAATGGAACATATGGAGTACACATACTTTAAAAGGATTGTGAGGGTATATAAAAAAAATTATACATGTTTGACTTCCTTCCTAGACGACCTCACCATATCGGTATAGCTAATTGTCTAATTGCACAAAAGAAAGTAAAGAAAAATAAAAAGGGATGTACAATCACTGAGCAAACCATACAGAGAATCATAACATAAGCCAAGAGGTCCAAGATAACAATACTTAACAAAATATAATCTAAGTGCGTATAAATAACATTATCTGTCTGGTTAAGAATTCACATAACAGAGCAGTGACTACAAAATATTGATAACTGATGGAAAAGGAATAATATAATTTTACAACATAAAGAAACAAAATAGTAAACACCCTATGTAATTTAATAACCTTTTCAGATAGTCCACATGGCTTGAGCCTTAGAGCCTTGAGGAAGTCATGCATTTTAACTTGTCCTCTGCAAATAGAGAGAAGAGGATTAAAAACACAAGTCATCAACCACAGGCAATGCATTAAATTAAAGGCACTAGCAGCAAAACCAAATGCCAGATATGGAGTACACATAAATGTCAACTCCCCTCTCCATGCCACCCCAAGAGCGTACCTGCTGTTAGGACTCATGGAAAGGAAAACATCAAGAAAGCTTATAGCCTCTAAGGTGCTCACATGAAAGGCCTGAAAGAAAAAAAAAACAGAGATGTAGTGATTTTTACGCTGTTCACACTGCCATTGGAACTAAAATTAGAACTACGGCACACATAGACATCGTAATTGTTAAGTAGCACTCCAAGTAGGTCATTAATGTCTAATGGTTACGTAGCTAACATGGATTGATAAATTATAATCTCTATTAATCAGATTCATAAGTAGGATAGACAGACTAAATGGTCCTGGCTCAGGTCAACAAATCATGTCCGATATGGACATATAGAGCCCTTTTACTTTTAGTAAGAGGCTTAAAATGGGTGAAGTGCCTGAATCATCATCATCACCATCATCATCATCATCACCCCAGTGCCGCAACGGCTCCCACCTACGGTGCAGGGTAAGGGGGTTGGATGTATGCAGTCTTACCCCTGTACTAAAGCACAGATAGACTGTTTCCGGATGACCCATAGTGAAAATCGCGTCAAACAATTGCATGGACCGACTACTGCTTCATAACAAAGAAGCGCCGATAGTTTAGTGAGCCATTTTGCTTTATTCCATCATATTCCCAAGCCAAAAATTAGTGTCTTTGGCTCCATTGCAAATAATGGAAAGGTGAAGTGGCTGAATCTAATGAAATTATTTAAGCTACAATTGGAATGAATGAATTCACTGAATCTGCAAAATGACGAAACAAACTTTACTCATAAAACAAAGTAGAAAACTAAAATAGTCATTTCCATCAACTTTAGTGTTACATTTTCTCATTACTAACCAACTCAATGTCCGAAGTCAAGGAATTAGTGTTTGATACAAAACCTGGTGGATAATGCCAATAAGACAAACAATAAAGCTACCAAACGGCCACATAATTAGTTCTATTTACATGCACAAGATATTCAAAACAAGTCGAGGCAAATGTCCAATTAAACGCTAGTTTCATTATATCAACTGGAATAGCAAACTGTTAATTTGCAATGGTCGTGCGTGCACCCTACGAAACCTAGTGTGTTTCAGTAACCACAGAGAAAGTTATTATAGACACACACAAAATGACTTAAAACTTATTCAATTATTTCATGATGATGTCTTGTTTAAGTGCGAAAAATTGCAAATGAAAAAAATAGGCATAACACAAAGGCACCTGAGTAACATCATCAGTCATCACATAAAGAATTAATAAGGCATCACAAAAGAACTGCATAATCTGCAAATTTTAACTAAAAACATAGAAGGAAAAAGTTGTCCACTTGGCAAAAATGAATCAAGTATGAACTCACTGATTTAACCCACGCCATTTCAGCCATATAGAGAGCAGGGTTTTCCTGAAAATCATAAATTGGTAATCAGGGTTAAGATATCATAACTATAGCATTGCATATGCTGAGTTCAGCTTCTAGTATCAAAATTACGGTTTTAACTTGTAACAATCGCATTGTCCAAAACTGTATATTTGGCATTGCATATATCAGATATTATAACTGAAGCATTTTATATGTTGAGTTCAGCTTGTAGCCTTCTATAATAAACAACTTAATTCAGCAAATACATCACTTCTAGCACGATCGCAAGATATATGAAACATCTGATAGTCATTTCCTTAATCCACAACTTCATGTATATCAAAATTATGGTTTAAACTACTCGTATAGTCCAAAATTGAAGTTGATATGGTACTCATTGGGCAATTTTCTAAATCGGGGTTATAAGAATTCTCATGCAGCACAAGAACGATTTATTACTACGTAAAAGAAAGGAATTTAATCTTCTTTAGAATCATAAAACACTTGCACAGAAAAAGAGCGTGTGAGTTGGCAAACAGATACAAATATATACCTGCTTGTACTCAGCAGCTTTCATCAGAAGCAAAGCATCAGCATAAGAATGTGATGTTTGTAACACATTCAAAGCACTGGCCATGGCATTGCCAGTCTGCATTTTACCCAGATATTATTAATATCTAAATATAAGGCATTATAGTTGTTGGTAATATCTGGACTGCCAAATCATACACACATACAGTGCGCTCAGTGCTCACTATGCCCCACATATGTCTCAATTGATCACAAAACAAAGAATATGATTTCATAGGAGCTTTTATATTTCCGAATGGACTGGTAAAGTAAAGAGGGAAGTGTTAAAAAAGGACTTGCAACTCGGAAGAAACAAGAAAGTACCCCGAGGATGGAATATATACAACTTACATTTTACATACAAGATGAGCATACTCTCGGAAAGTGAAGAATACTCATGGATTGTAAAAGAAAATGCAGTCTATTGGTCAGTTTTTCATTAGAAGAATAAGGAAGCAGGAGGTACCCTAAAAGAAAGTAGAAAGACTTCAGTATAAATCCAATGAGGTAACTTCTAGAGACAAACCTATCTTTTCAATAGTGTTTCCCACTTCAGTTCATTTTGTAGAGAAAACACATGGCAGGCTTATACTGAGCTTTCCATTATACTTTAGCATCATTTACAAAAAAAAAAAAGAGATGAACATATAATAACTTTGAATAGAATAGGAATAACACAAGTGCCATTTTGTAGTTCAGGAGTAAGAATATCACAAAAAGTAAAGTATAAGTCATATGGCTTAAAGGAAGGGAAAATCTTTTTCAGTACGCTACACAAGCACAGCAAGAATATTTCAAAGGTTAAAGGTCAAGCAACATATTGCAGATTTGCAGTAGTCTAAAGTCAAGAACAAGCATCCATTCCAAGGAAAACTTTGCCCCATTACTAGCCAAATAAGTAGGCACATAGATGTTGTGCTTTCAATACACACACACTGACACACACATACATAGTACATACATATATACCATACATGCATGCATACAGATATGAGATATGCATACATACATATAAAACAAATCAAGAAAACCAGAAAACTTTCAATAACACCTTGTCACTTTTATGGAATAAATTGTTAGTTAAAATCACGCAAAAATAATGTTTAAATCAGACTTGACTCACCCTCTGAGCAAAATGAAAAGCATTTTCCTTTCGATTCTCAAGTGGGAATACAATGGGAAGGTATTCAACCTACATCCAATAAACAATTACAGAAGGGCAGTGAAACATAGTTATGGCCTGAGAAAAGTGATAAATAGAACAATCACGGTCAAGTTCAGGCTCGTAATTCCATGAAGAAGTAATATGTACTCCTTGAGCATAATCATGTCATACAAACATAAACTGTGTTCTGTTTAGAATATATACCTCCATGAAATTGTGAAACTGTGTGAACATTCTAAACATCAACTTTGACAAAGAAATGTTCCCCCTGGACAAATCACAATAGTAATGAGGCTTTAATAATAAATTAAAAAACAAAATATGTACGCCCATTAAGAAATTTATTATACAAAAATGATGCATACCATGACTGGTCAAAGTGTACATATGGGTAGCGAACAATAACCGGCTGAATAGGAAACCCCGGGATAAAAGCACCCAATTGGAAAGAAATAATAGCTCTTCCATTGGTAGTTGTGCCTTCAGGAAATAAAAGCACTCGTGGAAATTGATGGTGAGAGGCCTTTCTCTGTATTCAGATCCTTGAAAAGATATTTCTGTATCAAATCGCTAATATATATAGATAACATATTTGATGGCTGCAACTAATTACCCATTCAAAAACATTTAAACTTTGATAAGTAGCTGACAGAACTATTCTGAAGTCATTTCCTTCCATTTGAACTCTACATTATGTATGCAACTTCGAGTGCAGTTTATTTAAAGATTTAGTGATGATACTTTAGACGAATAAAATTCCAAACTTCTAGTGTGATTAAGCTGTATCTATTTCTCTGTGCATGTCAACTGAAGAGCAATTAAAGATACTAATTTTTTTACCTTTATTTCTTTAACAGCATTCTTCCTTGAGCACTGTGAAAACTTATCTACATATATCACCTGCACATTAGAAGAAAATGGAAAAGTTCATATTTAATTTGTAAACACATTTGCATACTTGCTATGCGAGGATAGACCAAATTATTTGTCCTGCATAGTAAATGGAAATAGATAATGATCCTGGTATACATTTGTCATCTTATTCGTTTTAATAACCAGGTAACACAGACAAAAGAATGGAAATAAACGAATACCTGCATAGCTCTGATTATGGTTCCAACAAATGGCATCGAGTCATGGGATTGTGATGAAACAATAGTAGGGCACAATTCATAGAAATAGAAGATGGGGTCAATATATGATACGTGATTAGACACAACAATTGGAGCAATCTGTCTTGTTGCAGGTTTCCCTTTTCGCTTTATCCATTGATAGCTACAACATAAAAATGGAAAAAGAATGAGATATAATGAATTAATGAATTTGTTGGTACTCAGTTGTAATGTTGTAGACAAAGAAGCTACAAGAAAGCGTCTTAATAACTTTAACAAGTTGGGTTATGTCTTTTAATGAAATTGCTCAAAATAGGAGTGAAACAGGGAGAATGTTCAAAAATAGGACTAAGTATGTTTTGTTGTCAAAATAGGAGTTGTTTAGTCCTACTAAAAGAATAAAACTGAGGTCAGATACAGTATAGGCATTCAAATACTTAAGATGACCAAGATTCTTGGAAGATCTGTCCTTAGTATTACAATGGTTTTATCATATTTTTATATGTATGCAGTGTTCTAAACGGCACTGGAAGGCAGGCACTAGGCCTGAGGCAGCGAGAAAACGCCATGCATAGTAGAAAGGCATGGAAAAGGGGTCAAATTGAGAGTTGACCGTCCTCATGCTTTCTGAGTATTTAGTCTTTCTCTTCATATAGGCCTCAAAAGGTTTGGCCTTGACGAGCTTGACCATCCTCATGCCTTTTGAACATTGTATATAAGCACTCATTGCAAACATTTGGCCTTGACATTGATGATCAAATACGGACAAACAGTCATGAAAGGGCTTCATTGATGATCAAATACGGAAAAACACATGTTATCAGATATTAAAAAAATACTCCCCTCAAGTGCCTCAACACAATATAACAAATTACGAAGTAAAAAACTTTATTGTCACCTTGACATATCAGACGCGAGAAGCTGAATAAAAAATTGGTCATTACTCCTAGAATAGTTTTTTTTAAAGCTGGTTCTGAAAATGCCAATCATTACTCCTTATTATCATGCATAGTAGAAAGGCATGGAAAAGGGGTCAAATTGAGAGTTGACCGTGAAAAAGTGTTGCGCAGGTAAAACACTTTATTATCACCCCTATGAAAATTGGTCATTACGCCTAAATCACTCTTTTGTAGCGAGACCTACTTCTGAAAACTGAGAACTCAAAAAAAAAGTTTTCGGTAATCTTTATATTAAGCTTACCCAAAAGAGAAGAGGATACACCGGGCGCTAATACGGGTAACCCACATCAGTTTCGACCTCCATTTGGGCATTGGATTATGCCTGTCTTTCCAGCCAAAGAGAGCAATCTGGGTTGCCACATAACCAACCATCAAGAAAATACAGAAAATCGCCAGCCGAAGAAGAGCAATGGGCAGGCAAATCGCGATCTTCACCCACTCATACACCCCCTCGATCCCCGCCGTGTGGTTCTTAAACGGGTCAACCGTGGTAGGCTCCGGAGACTCGAACGGGTGCGCCCCAATGAATCTGTACGGGTTATCATCCACCGACACCAGGCCGTCGGCGCGGTTTCCATCACCATTCGTGCTCTGGATGGCGGGCTGAGGGGGAGGGGGATAGTCGTTAACGGCGACGATCGTGTGGGGGAGACCATCGGAATCGGAGGGTCGGAAATGGGTCTGCGGCGGTAAAAGAGGCGTTGACAAAGAATGGCCCGGCATTTGTGGATGTCTATGCGTTGTGATTCCGAAATCTCAGTAAATAACTGAAGTTCGACCCCAAAAGAAGTAAAGAAGTGAAGCTATGGAAAATGAATAAAAAAATACTGACCATATTTTTGAGTTCATGGTTGAATGCCAAATGGCTTTTCTTCATTTGGTGCGTTTATTTTTTGGGCGATAATTTTCGCTGACCACGTGCATTATGTCCTAATTTTCTTTTTTTTACACTTGTTACTACGGTGAAATTTGACGAAAAAACTTGGCCAACAAAAAATTTGACGAAAAATATTACTCAAACAAATGATTCAGACATGCATATCATACAATTAGGACGGCAAAGTTGGTTTTTGAAAACAAACAAGGGAAAAACGTCAATTGCGCTCTCTTACTATGCGCGATCCGTCAATGAAGTCCTCGTACTTTGGAAACACTCAATTGAACCCGTCAACAATGAAAATCCCGTCAATTAGGTCTACATAACCGGATGCTTCCCGGTTAGCCCGTTGCTCGCTCACGTGGACATCGCACATTGAGGGTTCCATTGCTGACATGGATTAAAAATTTCCACATCACTTAATGACTCTATCCTTTCCCAAATAACACCGCTGTAGGAGGGCGCAATTATAGTGCATGAAATCATTTAAGAAATTGTTAGGTCCCTCTAAGATTTTGATGATGCATAGTGTTGGGATATTGATCCAGAGGCCCAATACTCGGATCAAGAAGGCCCAAGATACCTGGCCCAAGCAACGGACCCATCACGCTATGATAAGATAATCAAGGCAGAATTCATGCCGAACGAGATTCGGCCCAAATAAGGGTTGGCCCAGTGAGAAGACATACTGAACGGAGTTCGGACTATATATTATACTTGGGCCAATTTGACAGCATCTTCAGCATAGCCCAACATCCCGTTCGAGCAACGGCCAACCGGCAAGTGGTCAGGTGCAATTAATGCCAGATTGTGACATCAGCAAGTGGAAACATGGGTGACCAAGTCGGTGGAACAACGGCCAATCAGCATAGGGCAGCCCATGCTCTCCATTAGTATAAATAGAAGGTTTTAAGTCATTGTAAGGGTTAGCATTTCAATACTCAGGCTCTAGAATAGCATCATTGCTCTTATTTCTTGTATTAAAGCATTGTTTCCGACCTACCGATCGGGAAATTCCTTGTAATCAGACTGGTTAGTTAATACAAGTGAGCTTTCGAGTATTAGTGAGTTCATATCTTATATTTTTTATACACTTTGATTCTGTGACATTCCTGATATATCCAAAGTTCGTGTTGGGCTTTCGGATCTTGAAGATCGGCCGCTAACTTCCGAGCGGCAGAAAAAAGGATCTGGCTGTCATCTCGATCGCTGGCCAGGGCCTTCATTTCCTTTTCGGCCGCAAGAAAGGCCTTGTGATAGTATACACCGGCCTGAAAACGAGATTGCAATAAAAGTCAGATAAGGTAAAACATGAAGAATAGAAAGGCATGGATCAGAATGAGGTGTACCTTGAGTGCTTCATGGTGACCTGCTTCGAAAAGATCCGACCAGTGGGTCAAGATCGTGAAGCTCGGGGGAACCTTGATTGCAGTGTGACACCACATAGAAGATGGCATCAGCCCGAACAGATACCTCCCTTCTGATCTGGGCCCCATGTTTGAAAATTCGACAAACATCCGATCATCAATCGGTGCGTCAGAAAGAGCAGGAGTTGATGTTTTGGCAGGCGCCGATCTTTTGGGTTCAGCCTCCGGCCCGGTCAAGTCAACCACGTGGTCGATCGGGATCAGTTGATCACCATCATTCCCCTTGCGTTTCTTCCGAATTTGCTCCGCAAAGGCACGATCGACTATCATTTTCTCCTTGCCTTTACCAGAAGAAGCCGTCAGGGTAGCGGAAGAGATAGAACGCCGGACAGGTATGGGGGATATCACACCTGCAAAAAAGGGAAATAAGAGACAAAGCTAAATTGAAAGAAAGAAGGACGATCGGGTTAACACCGTATTACGCTTACCAATTCCGGCAGATAACATGTTTGAAGTAGTGACAAAACTCCGGAGACTTCGGGTTCCTCCCATCCGCAAAGATTCAGCTTGGGAGCGTAGAACGACATCTACCCTGGGCTGGGAATCCCGAATGGGATAGGCGTTCCACCTATCTGGAAATGGCAGAGAATCACCAACCCGAACAAACAAAAAACGCTCCTCCCAGTCAGCCGGCGGAGTGAGATTTTCTGTGAACAGCTGACGATCAGAACGAGCTACCAGCTTCAGGTACCTGGTCATCCAATAAGGCTGATAGCAGTAGTGGTGAAGGAACAGGTCGACGCTTGGAGTGATCCTCAACTCGTGGCATCGAATAATGAAGCCTGTAAGAATGCGGTAAGTGCTGGGCACGAACTGAGCGGGTAGTACAGAAACCCGGCGTAAGAACTCCACAATGAATGAATGGAGAGGGAAGCGAAGCCCAGCAGTCAGAGCGTCAAGGTGCACTAGCACGTGCCCCGGTCGGTGCCTCATCGGGTGCCGAATGAATCCAGCATAGTATTCCCTTGGTGGGGGCAATAATTGGCTAAGTTGTCGTTCGATATCTTCTGGGAGGCGTTGTTTTTGTTTGCGGATACGAGTGAAGTGTAGAGGAATGCGGGGTGGCCGCTCGGGCATCCTCTTGTTATAGACCTGGACGTCATCACCTGATAGGCATCCATCATCTTGTGGTTGTTCGGTGTGTTTGCCTGCCTGAGGAGTGCCGGGTTTAGGAGTTTGGGAAGAAGAGCCTTCGGCCTTGTTACCAGCAGATCTTTTACTTGGGCGAATCAACGGCATCTCTTCAGATTCTGAGCTAGAAGGGTAATACATAAAAACACTGGAGAATATTTGGGAATTCTAGAGAGAGAAGCTTGAAAGTACGCAAGAGAATTTTGGGGATTCTAGAGAGAGAAAGCTTGAAAGAAAAGTGAGGAAACAGCAGGAGAAATTAGGGGAAAGCACCTCTATAAATAGGGAAAGTGCCACACAAAAACCCTATTCCATGAGCAACACGTGGCATTAAGTGGTTACGATTAATCAGGAGCATTTATGGTTCATCTTTGGGCACGTACCCCGAACGGGCTTGCAGAGGATTAATAAAGATCACGGGGAAATGGCTAAAATCTACTTAGATCATCGATTACCGAATGACGTACGGGCTTACAGAGGATTAGCAAAGATCACAGGGACTGGCTGGTCAGAAAAACTGCCAAGTCCTAAAAATTGATCTGAAGCCCGAACGGCAACCAACATACGAAGAAGCCCAAGTGCGAAGAAAACCAAGAAAACGGCTAAGTCCTAAGAATTGATCTGAAGCCCGACCGGCTATCAACAACGTAAAAGATTATCTGAAACCAGAATGTGCTGTCATAAAAAATGATCTGAAGCCCGAACGGCTGAGTCCCAGAAAGGAGGGGGTTTATCCTTGGTAAATTAGCAGAACCCTCGAATGCCCGAACGGTAATCATACAGTACTAGGAGTATTAAGTAAAAAATTGATCGTCCTACAGACCGGGCCGAATCCCGAATGGGGAGCAAGCATTCAATAAACGCAAAAAAGACAGTATGAGGTGTTTTGTGCAAAACAAAAGATCTGTATTCATCGGTTCTACTGACCGGGAAGTACAAGCTACTTGAAGAAAAGAGAATTACAACGATTAATTAAAAAGTAAACATCTATATTATTGGCCAGGGGCCATTTCCTCTCCATCTTCATCCTCGTCTTCATCATCATCAGACGGGGGTTCAGGCTCTCTCCCAGCAGCCCGATCAGCTTCCCGTTGCAGATTTCTCTGAAATTTCTCAAATTGAGCTTGTATAATGTCATCCTGGGGAAGATCAGAAGCCTGAACCGGCCTCCCAAGATTGTTTTGAAGTTGAGCGACAAAGGGACGTAGCAGGACCTGGCCGATCTTGGCACAAAGATCTGCAACGATGGAGTCATTCCATTTCTTGGCCTCAGGATCCTTGTCCAAAAGAGCCACCCCTGCCGAGAGCCGACCAGCACCTCTAGGAAAACCCTTCAGGTACGCTCCAAAGGCGAACGGGATTTGCGTCCTTGCATGATTGTCCTTAATGATGGAGAATTCATCAGAGGATTTAAATGTTTCCCGGACAGCGGATAGATCCACATTCACTTCATAGGGGCCGTCCGGGATGCTGGAAGGCATCTCCTCAAACTTGATCTATGCGGCCTCGGCAGCAATGACCTTTGCTTGGGAAGCAGCAAGTTGGACCCGAAGGGTACCAAGCTCAGCATCCAGCCTTTGTTTTTCCTCCGCAAAAGCCTTCCGTTCGGCTTCCAGGGAGGTGATGGCGGCAGCAGCGGTTTGCTCAGCAGAAGATTGAGCAACAATTAGTTCCCGTTCCTTGGCCAGACGGGCTTCCCGCATTTGCAAGGTGTACAAACCCATCTACAAAGCATCGTTCAAGAGTTAGTACTGATTAACAGAGAATAAAATAAAAACAAAGCGCAAAAAAATAATATACCTTCAGTGCGGTCAAGGCCAGGCATTCTTCGGATTGCTCGACCGGCAACTGGGGAAGGGAGAAATTGTTGAACCAGGAAGATATCGACCAGATCTGGCTCGCGGTAGAACCAGCCCTTTCTAACACCTCATGAACAAGATCCGATAGAGAGATCCGCTCGACCTGACCAGTGATATGGTCGGTATGAGTCCCGCCTACGTTCGAGGGTCCCCCCTGAACGGAATCAAAGTGTTGGGGGAACTGATGCAGTTGATCAGAACCAAAGCGGTCATCGATCATCATGGCGTCAAAATGATCATGACCGGAGAATTGCTGAATAGGCTCCGGTTGCTGGACGGTCGGTGCAGGTTCGGATTGAGGAGCAGCGGTAGTGGGTGAATCAGCTCTTGGATTCCTCTTCATTTTCTTCTTCCGTTTCCCGATCCCGCCAGCAAGGAGTACACGGCTGTCATCCATAGTAGCGTCTGGATTGGGAGCTGAAAAATGACAAAGGGGAATGTTAGTACCGAGCGGCCTTTAGCATGTGAGAAACTAGTAACAAGAAGGGAACGTTTCTCGCACGGGAAGGACCGCCCGGACTATGGCACTTGA